TACAAAAAAATACAAAAGTTAGATGGGTGTTGTGGTGCACGCCTGTAGTCTCAGCTACTGGGGAGGCTAAGGTGCAGTGATCACTTGAGCCCGGGACGCCAAGGCAGCAATGAGTGGAGATCACATCACTGCATTCCAGCCTGGGCAACAGAGTGAGACCCTATCTCAAAAAAGTAAAAATAAAAATAAAGCATTAGCAAACAAGAACATTTTAGAGAAAAAGCTCCAGAAATTTCTCAAGTAAGCAGTATGTTCAAGTTAGTAAAACAACACTACAAATGACCACTAATTGTACATATACTACATGCGAATCTATGATTAGTCCCTACATTAACTAAGAATTATAGTATTCATTTATAGACACAGCAGTTGTGCCACAATCACAATGTTGTAATTACGTAACAGAAGGAGAATCTGAACCAAAGTCTACCTCGTGTAACTGCCCAGAGGCTAATGCCCAAAGATTTCAGCTTCAAGTCCATGCCTGAGGACTGGCTGGACATAGACATATCCCTACACAGATATGCTGCATCTGTGTGTACACACACACACACACACACACAGACACACGCACTTTTTATTTTTTGAGACAGAGTCTTGCTCTGTTGTCAATGATGGAGTGCAGTGGCACAATCATAGCTCACTGCAGCTTCAACCTCCCAAGATGAAGCGATCCTCCCACCTCAAACTACCACCTGAGTAGCTAGGACCACAGGTGAGCACCATCACACCCAGATAACTTTTGCATTTTTTGTAGAGACAGGGGTTTGCCTTGTTGCCCCTTGTGGCCTCGAACTCTTGAGCTCAAGTGATCTGAATGCCTCAGCTTACCAAGTACTGGGATTATAGGCATGAGCCAGTGCATCCCGCCAGATTAAATTTTCTAACTTTTCTGAGATAGGGTCTTGCTCTATTGCCCAGGTTGGAGTACAGTGGCACAATCTTAGCTCACTGCAGCCTCGACCTCCTGGGGTCAAGTGATCTTCCTGGCTCAGCCTCCTAAGGAGCTGGGAGTAGAGGCATGGACTAGCACGCCCAGCTATTTTTAAAGTTTTTTTGTATAGACAGGGTGTTGCTATGGTGCCCAGGCTGATCTTGAACCCCTGGCCTTAAGCAATCCTTCTACCTCAACCTTCCAAAGTGCTCTGATTACAGGTATGAGTGATCACATCTGGCCCAGACTAAACTTTCAAAACCAATACCTAACTACTGAAAATAAATGAAACAAATCAACCTAGACATGTATCAGTGGGTGACAAAACCGTATAGAATAGAACAGATTTAAAACAGGGATTTGTTCATCCCCAGAGGGGAACATCCGTGCAAAAAATATGTCTCAAAAAAATGTTAAATTCCTTTCAGTAACTACACTGGTAGTGTATTATCGTTCTAAAGTTGTTGTATGTGTACCGTGAGATAAGGGAAAGGATTATCTTGGAAGTACCATATGAATTGAAAGTCTACTTGACCTTAAAAGTAAAAACAAGCAAAAACAAAGAAATCTCCAACATTTTCTCTAGGACCGTACACCGAAAAGACCTAGAAACAATGAACAACTCAGTAGCAGTGAATACCTCCACCACCTAGATTGTTGTCTTAAAATACCACTTACCACTATAAGGAAGAAATGTCTAATTATAGGTCTAGAGCAGGAAATGGCATATCTACATACTAGCAAGCAAGGAATCAGTCTTCTGGGATCATGCTGAAAGGACTCAGGAGCCAACGTTAAGAGGCTCTCACTATGTGGAACAATTTAAGCATTAAGGATAATAACTGCAATGGACCAAAATACATTACATAGATTCAAATCCATGAGTTCAAAATGAATCTACAGGGAGAAAAAAGGAAAAATTAAGAACTAACTGACCACTGTCTTACAAGCCAGTGAACCAGCTCAATATTCTGAAAATTGGTAAATAAAAAGGAAAGAATCAAGCATATATCCTGGCTTCCCTGTGTAAATGATACCACTGGGTAACCAAATAGTAAATAAGGGAAAGTTTCTCTTTCTAGAAACATTCCAACGACTAAGGACTAAGGAAGAAATGGCAGAATTAGAATAGCACCCCTTTGCAACCCCTGTGGGGTTTGAATCATCAGTGATTGGTCCGATCACAAAAAGACAACCAGATACCATGCACATCCAAACAGAATACAGTACTACACCTACGAGGTGGCTGTGTGTGCTGGGGTGGGGTGTTAACGCCGAATCTGACAGCAAGCCTCTAGATGCTACAGCCAATTTACAAAAAACACAATAAACAAAGGAATATGTTGAACACCACCATAGGAATGCAATCAGCAAAATCTAGGCCTTGGAAGCTCTACGGTAGCAATTGGCAAACTACAGAAGATTCCATTTTTGCCAACCCCTGCTCTAAGGGATAAACAACTCGATGTTTTCCACAAATAATATAGTAAGAGGAAAAAAGATGGAAGGGAAAACCTAAAGATTAAAAGAGACCTAAAACATTTCAATCAATCACAATATGCAGATCTTACTGGTATCTAGATTTAAACAAGACATAATAGGGGGAAAAAACCTATAGAAAACTGAACATTTGAATCCTGTATATTTCATAATATCAACATTTACATCTTAGGAGTGCTAATGTAAAAAGTAAGAGTTCTCTTTTAGAGATACAAACTGAAATTTTTCAAGGGAAATAGGTTTGGATTTGTTTCAGAATAATGCAGAAGGGTGAAAGTAAATAGAGGCATAGAGGACAATAAGACTGGCCATAATTGAAAGCAGCTGAAACTAGGTGACTGTTACACTATGAAGTATCCCTGAATGCACAAAGTAATACATTCAGTAAGGATGTTTAGAAACATTAGATCATAATGAAACACAGATACATTTATGTTTCTAGATGTTCCACTAGACATTATTTAGAAACAGAAAAAGGTTATTTTAAAGAAGTTCTCTAAAATGTAACCTCATCTTTTGCTACAATGTGGCAAAATCTTGCTCCCTAATAAGAAATACATAATTGGTCTTCCTTTAGATACTTTATTTTCATCTGTTTAAACAGGTGAAATAAATGTTCCTAACAAAGTTTATTATTTAAGTGGGGATCCTTAGATATGATGCCTTCATACAAATCCCAACATGCACAACTAGGAGTTGTCCTTGATGTAAGCTAATTTCTAACTGCCTCAACTTCCGCTTTTTGCAAATCAGTAATCTAGAAAAGATACTCCCTCAATCTGAGAGTTAATCTTCCTCAAGATTCTTTGTTTTTGAGACGGGAGTCTTGCTCTGTTGCCTAGGCTAGAGTGCAGTAGCTTGATCTTGTCTCAATGCAACCTCAGCCTTTCACGTTCAAGTGATTCTCCTGCCTCAGTCCCAGCTGGGACTACAGGCAACAACCACCATGTCGGGCTCATTTTTTATATTTTTAGTAGAGACGGGGTTTCACCACATTGGCCAGGCTAGTGTCGAACTCCAGACCTTGCGATCCGCCTGCCTCGGCCTCCCAAACTGCTGGGATTACAGGTGTTAGCAAATGCACCCGGCCCCTTATACATTCTTTATCACTAGGAAATCAATGTACTTAGGGGCAGGCCCACAGACATTCACCATCCTAACATTTCCTTCTTGAATATTCCAACATTTCTCCCCAAAATGCAATTTCTCCTCCACTGCAACACACAGAGAGGCAATACATAGCCTCACAGCATTTGTGGCTCGCTCACCAGCATTTCAAAGGCAAGAAGAATGCTGCAGAAAAGAAAGCATGCAGAGGCAATCGACTAAGCAGTGCATGAACACAAGCCCCAGTGCTCTTCTAGGCAGGACTACCTAGAGGAAGTAACTGACACGATCACAATTTTTCCTGAATCTAGTAAACAAAGGAACCATATGCTTAATTGAAAGTACACCATTTAAAGAGGACACAATCCTGCTTGGATAACTACGGTAATTCCAGAGTAATACATGCCAACAGGCGCTGACTCCCTTCAAAGGGTGATGCTGATGCATGCATTTATCAGATTAAAACCAACTTGGATCAAAACCACCAAACTGTCTGTTTTGTTTTTGAGACGGAGTTTCGCTGTTGTTGCCCAGATGGGAGTACACTGGCAGGATTTCAGCTCACCACAACCTCCGCCTCCTGGGTTCAAGCAATTCTCCTGCCTCAGCCTCCTGAGTAGCTGGGATTACAGGCATGCGCCACCATGCCCAGCTAATTTTTTTTGTATTTTTAGTAGAGATGGGGTTTCATGGTGTTGACCAGGATGGTCTCAATCTCTTGACCTCGTGATCCACCCACCTCGGCCTCCCAACGTGCTGGGATTACAGGCTTGAGCCACCGCGCCCGGCCCTGTCTCTGGTTTTTATAAGATTAAAAATAAAAACAAAGAGGACACAAAAACAAGGATTCTTTAGTTACAGTTATGAGGGAAAAAAAGGATAATTTTTTAATGCAGAAATTATAGATGTCTATTTATAGCATCTGTAAGTCACTTTAAAACATACACTATATGTATCATATATAGCAGCAACAAACGTTATTACACATTGAAGTGCAGTAATATTCAACACATACACACACCCCCCCCAAGTAAATTTCTAGAAATTTTTAATCATTTTTAGACTACGCTTATTATAGGAGTGTTAACAAAATTTTAAATAAAGCTTTGAAAAGGATATTAGTACTTTTAAATGACTTATTTTATACCAAGTGACAAGAAAAAAATCAAGAAGAATGTAGACTTCTCAAAAGACTAGTAACCAGAGTTAGGTTTTACAGAAAAGATGGCCTTTTTTCTAAAATTCTGAAGATGATGGGAAACTCATAGTAACTCCAATTATCTTTCAGGCAACAGAAATTTCAGCTGCCAACAGTTTTAAGCACTTTGTGTATGTCATGTAAATAACTCATTATTAAATTTAACAGTTTAAATTAAAGAATTATGAAGTCAAAATAAGATTCCTTTTCCAAGCCCTTCCACCCGCAATATTGAATTCATAGGACTAAATGTAAACTTACTTGGGCTGTTAGAAAGGTATCATCTTCACCTTCTTGAGCTTCAATTTCCTAAGTAAAAGGGTATACAATAGCTTTGCTTTACAAAATATCTGCGTAACAGGAGAATGCTTTCATGTTTATACCTGCTTATCATTTGCCTTGTGTTCTGTATAATATCTATGACACCATCGGTGCTTAATATTCAGACTATACTTCTTATGCCAAAAAAAAAAAAAAAAAAAAAATTTAGCCATGTTGCTAGAGAATTAGAAACATTTCTCTTGAGCCTCTCATTTATTAGGGTAGGTAGAAGGGAAGTGTTTTAACCATGAATACTAACAGCAGGGACTCCTTAACCCACTGACTTCCTTAAAATGCAGTAACATACTTTAAAGCAGCACAAATGGTCCGTAAGTGATAATAAATGAAATATTATCTACTTTAAAATTAAATTTTCATAAGTAATTCCCCACCCTTGATATAACCAAAGAAATGTAAATTAAAGCAACCTTTTATACCTGCTAAGGTAGCAGAAGGGGGAAAAAAGCATGTCACTAAGTAATGTTGGCAATGCCAGAATGAAACTGATACATTCATTCATCGTGGAGTAGGAAAAAAGCCTTAAAACTTAAAATGTGTCAAATTAAAGAAGTATCTATTAGATATGTAGAAATCAGTCTAATAAATTAGGGTAAAATTACGAAATTATATGTTACATGAAAATACAGAATAAATAGCAACTTATTGTATAACAACTATGTAAAAATATATATTATATGAAATAAGCAAAAATTTAAAAGATTGCCTAAGGTGGTAGGATTTTAGATGACTTATAAGTAGCTTTAATAACCATCTTTTAAAAATTCTGAGACTTCCAAATTGAACTAGGAAAAAAAAAACTTTTTATTATTTAAAACTTAATGTATCTGTGTCATGTTTTAAAAAAAACTGGCTAAAGACCTGACTTTCGATGTCCTCTTTTTCTCTATCTTCTACTGCGTCTGCCTCTATTAATTCATGAGCTCTCTTGTTTTCTTCTGCAGAGAGTAACTCCTTGGAACGCACATTTTCTTCTTCATTTTCACCAAATTCTTCAGAGTCCTTTAGTTCATCATTTCCATCTTGCTCTTGTGCCTCTTGATTCTCCAATTCACAGTCCTTTTAATGGTAAGAAAATTTGGTACAACTAGAGGCAAAGTAGCGTGGGCTATCCACCAAACGTTTTTGGTAATTTATACCTTTAAATGTGTCAAATTTGATCATATTTTAATATTCCCAAAGTTCAATCATTTTACCTTATATATTAACTGTGTCTTTAAAAATAGGTCTAATACCAAGATTATCATACATGAATCTGAGTTCTCAAATCTCTCATATTAAAATGCACAATAATTGAATTGCTACTAGAGATGCCCTAAATTCCAGTTATTTAATATTTACCAAGCCAGCTCTAGGAGCTGTCCAGAAAATACAGCTTGATTTCTCTATGTGCCACAGATTGAGTTAACTTCAAAGACCTTAGAAGTCTTATACACTAAAACCAAATTTATTTCTGATAATAAGAAACTCCTAACTGCTGCATCAATGACTGTTCTTGAGAAATATGCCAATAACTAATTAAAATGTATTTGCTTTGAAAGTTACCACTGTGCCAAATGCCAATTAGGAAGGGGAACATAGGTTGTGATTGGTCTGTTTGCCTTTCAAAGTTTATGGATATATGGTACTTCAGTGAAAACAAAATCAGCAGTCTGCCTAATTTCCTCTGATTAAGTGCAGAGAAAGGAGTGAAAGCAATAAACATTCCTTCCTTTTTTTGTTTTTTTTCCTGTTCTTATGGTAAATCCAGCAGATTTAAGAAAAGGTTTCTTTTCTTTTTTTTTGAGACGGAGTTTCGCTCTCGTTACCCAGGCTGGAGTGCAATGGCGTCATCTCGGCTCACAGCAACCTCCGCCTCCTGGGTTCAGGCAATTCTCCTGCCTCAGCCTCCATAGTAGCTGGGATTACAGGCACACGCCACCATGCCCCGCTAATTTTTGTATTTTTAGTAGAGACGGGGTTTCACCATGTTGACCAGGATGGTCTTGATGTTTGACCTTGTGATCCACCCGCCTCGGCCTCCCAAAGTGCTGGGATTACAGGCTTGAGCCACCGCGCCCGGTCAAGAAAAGGTTTCTTGGTTAAAAGGTGAATGAGGCTGAGGCATGACTAATAATCATTCACAGCTAAACTGCAGTGAGGAAATTGAAATTTCTATCTAGAGGTGGGCACAGAGAAGGAGTATGATTATTTTGGAATGTAGTGTGCTTGGGAAGCAGAGGATATCTTGTTTGACCAAACATATTACAGTATGAGTGGGGGAATGGTAGGGGTTGAAAATGAAGTACCTAGCTGTATTATGACAGAACAGGCACAAGAAAGATCAAGGGAAGTTACCAAGGTGATCTCACCCATTCTGAAGTGCCAACTTTGACTAATTTCCTCCCTTATTCACAGAAGCAATTTGTATACTATTCTGGCATTTAGGCAATCGGTGAAATTTACCCACCATTACTGTATAAATCCCAAAATTATCAACCGTGGGAGATGGGAAAAATACATTCACTTAATTTCTATCAAATACATCACATATATGTTGATACTTCCAAAAATAAACTGAAGATATGTTTCAACAGAATTTTTTAAAAAGCTCCTAGAACCAGGCGTGGTGGCTCACGCCTGTAATCCCAGCACTTTGGGAGGCCGAGGCAAGTGGATCACGAGGTCAGGAGTTCGAGACTAGCCTGGCCAACATGGTGAGACCCCATTTCTACTAAAAATACAAAAATTAGCCAGGCCTGGTGGCGTATGCCTGTAATCCCAGCTACACAGGAGGCCGAGGCAGGAGAATCGAACCTAGGAGGCGAAGGTTGCAGTTAGCCAAGATTGCACCACTGCACTCCAGCCTGGGTGACAGGGTGAGACTCCATCTCAAAAAAAAAGCCAAAAAACAAACAACAATAGCAAAAAGCTCCCCTGTTCTTCTAGACATTATGACCACTTTTATTTAATAATAACACAAAGGCATCCTTTGCAGCACATATAAGAGAGAATACTATTATTCTTCTGAATAGATGTATACAGCTTCTTAGGACATTTCAAACAACTGCAACATTTTTATGAACTGAAGAGCTAAACAAACATGTTTGAAAAGTAAAAGATTTTTTACTGAGTCATAATGCTTTTACAGCTTATGGAAAATCTCAACTTAATCATACACTTACTGGTGAAGACAACTGGAGAAAATAAGAACAACAAAAGTAACCCTAATGGAACACGTATCATAAGGATAACAGAACAGCAAAATTTAAAGGCTTGAACAAAAGCTGATTACCGGCATGCAATCAACAATTTTAATGGATCCCTGGGCAAACAGTTCCTAAAATTATCTGATTTCAGGTTAACTCCTCAACAAAACATCGTGTGTGTGTGAGTGTGTGTGTGTGTGCGCGCGTGCGCGTGCGCGCGCCATGTGAAGAGTGAAAACAGCTAGGAAGCAGAAGAGATGGCTGTGTAAATGAACATGAGCACACAAACATCAAGAGACATGATGACAATATGGACTAGTTTTACCTAGAAAACAGACCATATGGGTGCATAAATGCACATAATTCAAGACAAACTACATTAAATAATTCCTGAAAATACCACAATACTAAAGACCTAATAAGCAGCAGATCACTTTTCACTAAAATAAAAACAAAACAAATTTTGAAAACCCAATTACAATTAAAAATAGCTTGTTCTCTATCTGTAGTATACAGAACTGCCACAACCCCAATAAAAATTACATCCTTCATTTTTCTGGCCAGCCAGTTTTGAAATGCACCCTCCTTTTTGGTCCAAAAGGCCTAGCTTATTTATCTCTAAAGGGCCAAATTTCTAAATTTGATCTTTTTTTTTTTTTTGAGATGGATTCTCACTCTGTCACCCAGGCTGGAGTGCACTGGTGCAATCTCAGTTCACTGCAACCTCCACCTTCCTGGGTTCAAGTGATTCTCCAGCCTTAGCCTCCCAAGTAGCTGAGACTACAGGCGTGCACCACCATGCCTGGCTTTTTTTTTTTTTTTTTTTTTTGTATTTTTAGTAGAGATGGAGTTTCACCATGTTGGCCAGGTTGGTCTCAAACTCTTGACTTCAAGTGATCTGCCCGCCTAGGCCTCCCAAAGTGCTGGGATTATAGGCATGAGCCACAGCGCTGAACCCTTAATTTGATCTTTACCAAGTGGTAACACATCAGCAATTTTCTGTCTGTATTTTAAGGTCTACATTAATCTAGGTTCTGTATATTACACACAAAAACTAAATGCAATGAGCAGATAGAAAAAAAATTATCAATATCCTTCCCTGGGGTATTTTGTCCAGGAACTAACACATGTATCTATTGTCTTGTAGCTATATCCCAGACCAGCTTTCTACCTAAAGGCCTGGAAAAACAGATTATTATTTTTAGTTTTATATCTCATTTAACTAAAAAGTTATTTACTCTATTTTTCAATTATGAGAGTTAATGAGACCGACAATATTACATATTGTCAATATTATGTAAGTCTCTATCTTTAACCTACATAGTTCAGTGACCACTGTTCAATAAAATGCACAAAATTCATAAAGCAAAATACTAGGCTTAAAAGCAGCATCTTATCCTGAGTACTTAACACTTTACCTTGATGAAAGCATCATCTTCCACAGAAGCATCTCCACTCAACTCATCTGCTTCTTGTTTTTTACCTGCGGAAGAAGGAAAATGGGCTAACAACCAGTATTTTAGTACTTTAAGAACAAAAATATTCAGTGTTTACCCTGCAATAGCACTCTTCACTCCCAAACCCTCTGACAAAGCTAATGCCAACCGCTTACAAACCACCTGCTCAGAGCTGTCTCAAACATAAAAAGCTTTACTATGTCTCAATGAAATACGCCGTGCACATAATCCTACATATGAACCCATCAGCTTAACTGACTTGACGTGTATGATGCATTTTTCTTTACACCACTTGAATTTTCTACCTTCAGTTATCTCAGAAGCTGTGGTACTTTTCAGTGGCATTCAACTATATATGTAGCCAGACACCTGATAGCTAAGCACGAGATCTCGAACTCCCACAAAGCCTTTCCTATCTTCTCTTAAATAAGCACTCTCTGAAATAAAAATTCTCACATTTTAATCTTCATCTTACAATCCATCAGGTGATTATATACAGCTCTGTACTGTCTCTAGCACACCCTGCCTCTTCATAGAGAAGAAACTCCTTAAATACGACGACTGCTTTTATGCTAATTATTTATTTATCCAAAAGCCTAAAAATAAATAGTGCTGGCCACTTAACATAGTAACTGGTTTACGGCATGTAGAAATGACTGCAGTGAAAACTGTTAATAGCTTTCAGACAGACTGCAGACCTTCTCTGCCCAACCGTCATCTTCAAAACTTTGTAAACTTGTAGTTAGAATTTTCCTTTTAAGAATATCTATTTATTTATTTTTGAGACGGAGTTGCACTCTTGCCCAGGCTGGAGTGTAGCGGCGCAATCTTGGCTCACTGTAACCTCCCAGACCCAGGTTCAAGCGACTCTCCTTCCTACCTCAACCTCCCAAGTAGCTGGAAGCACAGGTATGAGCCACCACACCTGGCTAATTTTTGTATTTTTAGTAGAGACAGTTGGGGTTTCACCATTGGCAAGGCTGCTTTCGAACTCCTGGCCTAAGTTATCTGCCTGCCTCAGCCTCCCAAAGTGCCAGGATTACAGGCATTGAGCCAGCACACTTGGCTGGTAGTTGGAACTTTAAAAACGTTTTCCATGTTAAAAAAAAAACAAAAAAAAAGTTTTCCAGAGGCAATGCAAAAAGTTTATTATGTTTTCAGGCTAGTCCACAAAATCCTACTTAGAAATCTGTAATGTGCTAGAAATGTAAAAAACACATCTGCTGGAACATTACTGTGAAGTTTTTTTTTTTCGTTTCTTTTGAAACCTTAATGGATGTTCTTTCCTAAGGCCAATGAATGAACTTTTCCCTTAGCCTATAACCAGCACAGACAGTGCTACTCCCTATTGCAAGCTTCAGTAATCAGAGTGGAGGTTCAGCTACTGATAATTTATTTAACAAGTTAGGATACCTGCATTTCCTGAGTCTCCTCAGTAGCTCCTATCATCTACTTCCAATTCTAAGTCATTTCCACGAATGAGTGATAAAACAGGATATGATATGATAGTCCTTCCAAGTATGCAAAAAACAAGATTAGGAGTGGGGATTTTTCTTTTACTCAAGTAGTGGCTGAAGGCTTCTGAAAATCAAATAAGAAACGAAGTGTGGCGCTTCGTGGTGTGCTAACTTCCTATTTACAATGTTGATATCTGCATTTTGGGGAAAACGTAACTTTTTGGTTTACTATTTCTTTTGTTAAAGCTTTGCATCTAATTTTACAATTACTGTCATCATTCTCTTTATCACCAAACTTAATTTGTATGAGAATTTCAGACAACAAGCAGCCTGTCGGATTATATTGCCCTAAAGTCTAATATTAGAATTATTAAAAGGGCGATCACTAAGAAAGCCTGTTCATCTGAAAGTATTAATCTATTTAAGAAAGAAAAAAAAGATGTTCTTTTCCTGAAAAAGAAAACTACTGAACAAGAAAGAGCTAATTAAATTATTCTATTACATTTAGAGAAAGTTCCATAATACAAAAACCTTAAAGAGGCTACTTTCTGGGAGAAATAAGTTTTTAAAATATCAAATCCAGCAGGAAGCAGTGGCTAATGCCTGTAATCACAACACTTAGGGAGGCTGAGGTAGGAGAATCACTTGAGCCCATAAGTTAAGACCAGCCCAGGCAACATAGTGAGATCCCTATCTCTTCAAAATTGTTTAAACGTAGCTGGGTGTGGTAGTGTATGCTGGTAGTCCCAGCTATTTAGGAGGCCGAGGTGGAAGGAGTGCTCAAACCCAGGAGGGCAAGGCTGTGGTGAGCTGTAATTATACCAATCACTGCATTCCAGCCTGGGCAACAGAGTCGGACCCTGTCTCAGAAGCAAAATAAACCACAACATCAAATCCTTTCCTATACCCTCACCACCAAATAGCCAATTGGGCATAACTTTTGGGGAAACTCCTTTAGATCATTCACAAACGCTATTTATTCCTTATAATTACAAAATGCCTATCACCCAGCCCAGAACCTATTTTATTTATGTATATAAATATATATATAAATAAATATATAAATATAACATATATAAAACCAGCAGATAGCCAAGCATTATATATATATATATATATTTTTTTTTTTTTTTTTTTGACACGAAGTCTCACTCTGTCACTCAGGCTGATAACTGGGATTACAGGTGCGCACCACCACCACCTCCAGCTAATTTTTATATTTTTACTAGAGATGGGGTTTCACCAAGTTGGTCAGACTGGTCTCAAACTCCTGACCTCAGGTGATCTGCCCACCTTGACCTCCCAAAGTGCTGGGATTACAGGGGTGAGCTGCCACACCCAGCCACATTATATTTTTTCTGACTGATAATGGAGTAAGGCCTGGGCATGACACTAATGTAAAATAGGTCAGGCATGGCAGCTTGAGCCTGTAATCCCAAATTCTTTGGGAGGCTAAGGCAGGAGGATCACCTGAGGTCAGAATTTCGAGACTAGCCTGGACAACATGGTGGAACCCCGTATCTACAAAAAATACACAAATTGGCTAGGCATGGTGATGTGCATCTGCCATCCCAGCTACTATGGGGGCTGAGGTGGCAAGATCCCTTGAGCCCAGGATGTCAAGGCTGCTGTTCCATTTCAATCTGGATGACAGAGCAAGGCTCCTCAAAAATAAACAAATGAAAAAAAATTTCTAAAAATTAAAAATAAGAAAACAAGGTCTAGATTTCTCTTTGACCAACTGGATGGCATGGCTATTCAAGCAGCTTTGTGTGCAACCCCACTCTGTCCGTACTTTTTGTCACCACATCTGCAGGTCCCTAATTTTTAAATATCACACATAAAAAATAACTTTAAAGACCAAATCACCCTTCAATTCCAACAAGCCACACATTTTTGTACAGTCAAGTAACCATTTACACCTGTCCCATTCAAACCTGTGCTATCAGAGCTCCAGCAGCAAATGGACTAAACAGTTTCACCTCTTTCGTCCTACAGGGACTCTAGCAGGTGCCACAGAACTGTGAAAGTAGCATGACCAGGATAAAGGCGCTAACTGAAAGTGTAAGACAGATTGAAGCCAAACTTTTTTTTTTTTTTTTTTTTTGGAGACAGGGTCTCGTTCTTGCACAGGCTGGAGCGCAGTGTAGTGGCATGATCTTGGCTCACTACAACCTCCGCCTCCTGGGTTCAGGCAATTTTCCTGCCTCAGCCTCCCGAGTAGCTGGGATTACAGGCACACACCACCATGCCCAGCTAATTTTTTGTATTTTTAGTAGAGACGGGGTTTCACCATGTTGGCCAGGATGGTCTCCATCTCTTGACCTCGTGATCCACCCGCCTCGGCCTCCCAAAGTGCTGGGATTACAGGCGTGAGACAGTTTCATCATGTTGGCCAGGCTGGTCTGGAACTCCTGGCCTCAAGTGATCCACCCACCTGAGCCTCCCAAGGCACTAGGATTAGAGGTGTTAGCCACCACGCCCAGCCTGAAACAAACCTTTTATGCTTTGAGGAAAAAACTATAAAATACATTGGGCAGTAAACATAATCTGAATAACAAAAAATAAAAGCAAGATTAACCTATCACATCCTAAACTATCATAGTAGTAATATGGCTATTTTGAGATTACAAAAAAAACCCTAAAATATTATTTGCATGCTTTTAGGGTCTAAAGTAAAATGGCAAAGTAAAAATGTATATACCAGAGAAAGATGAGACTATAAATATTTTGCAACATAAATCTGTATACGTCCAAAAATTCTCAATAAAATCCTCTATGAGATATGTTTCAGAATTTACAATTTTCAGATTTTACAAGAGTGAAATGTTTGGCAGGGCACAGTGGCTCACACCTGGAATCCCAGCACTTTGGGAGGCCAAGGTGGGTGGATCACGAGGTCAAGAGATCGAGACCATCCTGGCCAACATGGTGAAACCCTGTCTCTACTAAAAATACAAAAATTAGCCGAGCGTGGTGGCACGTGCCTGTGGTCCCAGCTACTTGGGAGGCTGAGACCAAAGAATCGCTTGAACCTAGGAGGCAGAGGTTGTAGTGAGCCGAGATTGCGCCACTGCACTCCAGCCTGGTGACAGAGCAAGACTCCGTCTCAAAAAGAAAGAACAATAAAATGTTGCATACACTATGTTAAACCTCCCCATGGCTTCTGGAATAGTACTTCACAATTAATCACAGAAAAAATTTGTACAATGAAATGTATGAAGATTCACATCAAATGGGATAAATCAAGACTATAACCTCATTTCTGCCACCAAACTTGAAAAAAAAACTTTCAATTTTCAGAACTTTTGTATTTGATAATTCTGAATAAAGGATCTTGGATCATAAATTGGCTGGTGGCTCATGCCTGTAACCCCAGCACTTTGGGAGGCCAAGGTGGGTGGATCACAAAGTCAGGAGTTCGAGACCAGTCTGGCCAACATAGTGAAACCCCATCTCTACTAAAAATACAAAAAATTAGCTAGGTGTGGTGGTGTGCACCTGTAATCCCAGCTACGCAGGAGGCTAAGGCAGGAGAATCATTTGAACCTGGGAGGTGGAGGCTGCAA